TTTTCAAAAAGAATTTCATGTGTTCAGGTTTGATCAGTTTTACACTGAGGTATTTTTGCGTACATAATTATATATACATATATAATTAATTGTGGAATTAGCACCCTGCTGTGAGATTTCCAGTGTCACTTTCTTTGTTTTGACGTTTGACCATGTTACTTAAGATGTGAAAGCAATGGGTTCCTGTCTTCTACTAATGCTCCCAATGTTTACTCTTTCTGTAACTTTTACAAATGAGGATAGATAGTTGCCTGGTCTGTTCAGGCATTCTTATCAATAAAAATGAAAATCCAGAATAAGTCTTCCAATCAAGAAAGTCAACAGTGAAATTTGGTTTGGAGAAGAAAAATTAAGAATTAGTAGTAGGTAAAGTAAAAGACTACTTAAAGAAAATTTCTTGACTGGTTTGCAATAGAAAGACTGCTAACTCACTACATTCTCTAGTAATAGGAACATAAAAATCTTGAGAAAATAACTGACATACACTGGGCCAATTAAACCTTATTGCAACTTAGTTTTGAGACTGTTAAGGAAGTGTTATTGTGTTTTGAATGAGATTTATTATTTTCCATAAAAGCTGGCAGGTGGTTTCACAGTGGCAAAGCTAATTTAATAGTTCCCTTGTGCCCAGGGGTGTTTGTTCCAGTGGGTGAAGAATGGCAGAAAATTACTGCCTCAGAAATTATGCCAGTTCAATGCTTGTGAGCTGTGCTGTAAACCCAGATTAATTCTCTTATCCTAAAAGAAAAAAAATGTACAATCTTTCTTTCTAAAGTCAGAGAGAGACTCTGAGATAAAGCCTACCTCTGGAAAGTTTGTTTCATGGAAGCAGTAATCCTCATTTTGCCGTTACTTATGAGTTGGAAACTGCAGTGATACACTTAATCCAAGAGAAAAGGAGGACTCTCTGTCTCCCTGAGTCTGTCTCCTTTGTGACACTGAGGGCAGTTGACACAGAACCACACCCTCAAAAAAAGCGTAAATCAAAATTCAAGATACAGAGCAGAGGCAGCTCAAGTGAGCAGCAGCAGTACTTTCTGTAGAACACCCAAGAGGAAGCAAGAATTACTTTTATAAGTGCAAAGAACCGTGTCCCGCTGCTTGACTTCCTCTTCTGTTGAAAAGGACGGTTCGGCTCGTTCCTCGTTAGTTTTGTTAATAAACAGATAAGTCTCCCACCGAGTCTTCAAGTAAGAAGACATCTGAGATTACGTGTTCTTGGTTATCTACTCGACTGAGAAGAGGTATTCGCAATTATAAACATTATATTCATTATATTCATTAAATTCCTGAACTCCTTTAGGCTAAGAATTTGATTTGATACACAGGTTAAAATTGAAAAAAAAAAAAAAAAAGAAAATCAGCAATCCCTACTTGTTCTGCTTATGTACTCTAGCAGCTTCAGGTTGTTTATTGTTGTGGGTTTTTGTTTGCTTGTTTGTTTGTTGTTGTTGTTGTTTATTAAATTGGGCTTTAACATTTCATTACCTACTCATAACTGTTTCTAATGGCTTGCATTATCTATCCTCAGGACTGCTGTACTACCTTTTCTCCTTGGATGCTGCTGATTAGCCAAAAGCACGCAGCTACAGTGTTGCAGAATTTGCTCCCATCAGGACTCACCTTTGAATTGTGAAAACAACTGTAAAGTCATAGTATTAATAGATTCTACAAATGGAAATGTGAACGAGTATCTAAACAATTAATAGTGGTCTGTCACTAGACTCAGAAAATGCTTATTCTCTGGAAAAGTCTTTTTCCCTTGTGCCCAAAACCATAAAAGACCAAATGCCCAAAAGCATTTTTACTTTTTGCTTGTCCGCATGTTTATCTCAGATAATGAATCATCATAATGTTTTAATATGTATATGTCTGAAAAAATTATTGTATAATAGATAGTGGCTACAGTTTGTCCCATGAATAGAGCTGACAGTCAAGCACAAAGGAAAAGATTATTTCCTGAGCGCTTTATCTTTGTCAAGTGCACAAATGGTACTGACATACTATTTTTGAGAATTTAATTTTCTGCATATTTTCTTTACTAGAAGACTGGGGGATAGTGGGGGGATGAGATGTGAGATGGGGTGATTGTCCCAAACAAGAACCTGGCAGTCTGGTATTGGGAATCTACTTGTGGATAGGTGTAGTCAGGGGCCAATAAGGGTATTTCTGCACACAACGTTGGTGCCAGGTGAAAAAAACATTCAGTAATGTACCTGCATTTATAATCACTGCAATTTTGTTTCTTAAATGAGTGGGGTTTTTTTCCTTGGGTATTTAACATGAGTAAAACTAACTAAATAAATTATTTAGATTAAAATAACATAGCATTTAAACTCTAAGCTATAATTGCCTGTGCAATGGCTATGGCCATGGATATGGCTTTTGTTTCCTGCTATGTCAGTAGAGAAGTCCAGCTGCAGTTGCTGAAATACGAAGTGGGCGAAGGTCTAAGCATGGAAGCTAGTTTACCAGACTATAGATCTAAACTGGAGTTCAACTGTGAAGATGAGGTAAGTAGGAGCAACGTCTCTGGGCACTAAGGGACTGTGAATGCAGGGTCACATTTTGTGTCACCAGAAGTGTTTCTGAACACTTGCGTGAATGCTGCCGTGGTGGCAACGACTTCCATAGGGCCTGTGGCCCCTCAGGGCAGGTGCACTGCCCTGCCCATACAGTAAGCAGCTCCAATGAAGCTCTGATAACAAACCGGCCCCGTGCGGGTGTCGGGGGCCTCCGGTGAAGAACGATTGTCTTCTGCCCTATCTCCTCAGCCCTGAGCCCTGCTACGCCGTGGCAGCGAGGAAGGTCCCGGCACGGTGAGCACGGCCACAGGGGCGGCAGCGACAGAGGGGCCTTGCCTGGCCACAGTTGAAACCCACTGTTGTCAAGGAAGACACCTCCAAACCTGCCTGGGTGAGAGGCTCCCCCACAGGCACCCCGCTGAGGGTGGCACTGCACCCCGGGTGCTTTGCAGCAAATGACAAACGCAAAGCAGGAGTGTCAAGGAGTCATCTCCTTTAGGACACGATGCTCCGCGCCCATCTCGCCCCCTCGCTGCGCCCCAACGTTGATATTGCAGGGCTGAGGGGGCCGGGCTCAGGAAACCACGTCTGGGAGCTGCAATATTAAACTGCTCCTGAGGGCAGGGGGCGACCTCGGCGTAATCCCCGCTGGTGTGTGTAAGCACAGCCTGCTCCGTTCCCCAAGGCCGGGCCGGGGCGACCCGCACACACCACTCACCCCAGGCCAACCCCGCTGCCCCCGATCGCGCAGGGCAGGTCCCTGGGGACAGCCCCGCCCCGGGCCGGGTCGGCGGCCCCGCGCAGGCGCAGTGCGGGCAGGGCGCGCCCGGCGGCGCTGGGCCGGGCTGGGCCGCGCCGGGAGGGGCGGCGGCAGGGACGCCGCTGCCAGCGCGGAGGAGCGCGGGCGAGGCGCCGGGAATGGCTCCGGCAGTGACTAGCGGGGTTCCGCCGACTGCGCTATCGCTGGGCCCCACGGCTGCCTGGCTGGGCGGCAGCTCTGCTCTCGGTGGGTCGCTGCGGCCTCGGTCCTTCTCCGCGGGGGCACGCTTCAGCCCGCGACCCCCTCGCTCCCCGCCGGCAGCCCCTGAGCCTCTCCGAGGGCTGTGACCTCGCTGGGCAGCGCAGCCTCTGCTGCCGCTCGGGTGCCTCGGCTGACCCCGCTGCTTCTGCCGGGAGCCTCCCCGCTCTCACGGCCGGGGCCCGGGCGGGTTACGGGGGGATCCCCGGCGTTCGGATTCTGCGCGGCTCGCGGCAGAGCGGCACGGCCGGGTACGGTGCCCTCCGCCCTGGCCCCCGGCAGCCCGGGCAGGCGGGCAGGGAGGGGGCTGCGCCTCCGCGGTGACAGCGGCTGAGGTTTCTCCCGCCTGTCCACGGGGCTCTCGGGGCTGGCGCTCCCGTGTCCCTCTCGGGCGGGCTGCGAGTACCCTCCGCGATCACAGGACTCTTAGTGTCGCGACAGCCCCGGCCTGTGGATTGAGTAGTTGTGGCCACGAGTTGTGGGATAAAATAGAAAGAAAAGACTGTAATGAGCTATACAAACTCGAGGCTGGCGACTCCTCCGAAGTTGATTTTTTTATTCCAGAATTGGATGTCTCTTAAGATAGAAGTGCGGTAAAGAATTGTTTCTACTTCAGCCTCTCTCGTGAGTTTAAACTTGGCTTAGCGTTCGGGGTTTAGAAGTTAAGTTGACTGTCACCCTTGAGAACTGTGAAGAGCCCTCGCGCACATAACGGCCAGCAGAAGTTAGCTCAAAATTACATTTTTTTGTTTACATCTAACCCCAACTGTTATGGTACTAATAATGTAAAAGTGAAACTGAATTTGTTGCCTGTGTAGTCTGAAGTGCTTTTTTGTGCATTGTCTGTGCTTCTCAAACACTTATGATAAAAATTGATGCTCATTTTTACCTGGTGGGTAAGAGTGTACCAGCTTGTTTCAGAGTAAACTTTAAACTTAATGGAAAGAGTTAAGATGGCCATACCTACTAGCAAAAAATTAGATAATAACTGTTTCTAGTTTCTACTTTTTCTATGCTTTTTGTACATCTATATATTTCTTGGGGCAGGCCAGGTTGGACAGAAGGTTTGAGGTATCTACCGCCTGCTCTTTGTTTTCTGAAAGCAAGAGGAATGGAAGGCTTGTCATCCAGTCCATCCTTCTCTTTGGGAGAGTGGAAAGAAATAAGTACCACTAGGCATCTTGAATTTCAGATGCGTTGACTGGTAGCTAGTGCTACCTGAGGCCCTAATTCTTTTTTGGTATTCAGGTTTTGTGTGCAGAGGCAAGAGCAGGAGAGGAGTTGTGGATTTTTCTTCTCTTCTTGATCATTACTATCTTTTTTTTTTAACAGATAAAAAAATAATTTGTCCTTTGATGGTTGTTACTTCAGCATATTACTGCATGTTTCTACATGTTGGGATTATGCGGTTTGCCTACTACTGGCATTTTGAAGAGAGTGTAAACAGCTATTTTGGTAAACAAAAGGATGTGTATTCATAGGCTTGTAATGACTTTCCACAAGTGTTTATACTCAGGATTGCTATATTGAGCTTGAAGGCAGTTATGCTGGAGGACTGTTAGTATGCGATGTGCCTTTGTGGGATATAATAACGATAGCAGCAATTTTGTCTGGTATATCTAGATGAATAGAATGAACTTCTGCAAGCTAAAAGTTGACAAGAATAGCGAGAAATGTGAAACGTGTGAAAGAATTTTGTTCTTCCTCTGAGCTTGACAAGCGGCTTGCTGTCAATGTGTCTGCTGTATCACAAGATCACAGTATATCTCTTTACAGAAGAGATATACTGGTTTGGGTTAAAATTGATTTTTGACTCCTGTATACTAGTGAGGGTTGTTAGCTTGTGTAAATGCATTGATAGAATGTGCTTGGTAGCATTGATTTAATGCTGCTCACTAGATGCTGATTGCACTTGTAAATTTATCTGTGTTATGCAATAGTTTTAAATATCTGATGTGTCCAGGAAGGATTGTACTTATTTTTTTTAACAGCCAAACTGGTGAAATGTGCTTTATTAAATGCACATGGTGGCTGTTTGCAGTGTGTGTTTTATTTGAAAATTGAAATTTGAGGAAAAGTTTTCCAACAGAAATGAAAATGCAAAGCATCAATTCTCTGTGTTTTTGCAGTGGGAGCTATGTGCTGCTCAAGTAGTCACCAAAGCAATTACACCATATGCACTGCAATTTTAGCACTGGTAAATAGTGAACGTGAGCTTTTTGGTTCTGTATATGTTTGTGCAGCATTATCAACCACATGTTGTGCCTCACAAAGAATGGACTGAATCTCTGTTACTCCGTTAATATTTCAGTTTTTCCCTTTCTGAACAGGACAGAACTTCTCTAGATATTCTTAATGTATTTTTTTTTCCTCATTGAATTCTGAATAGTGTCAGATGCCTTCATGGTGTGACTGTTTGGACTGTCTGGGTGACTGACAAGATGATTTATTAGGTTTCGTCTTCCCTTTTGGTTCCTAACAAGCTCCATGTGGCAGTGTAGAAATTGCAATGCTTTAAAATAGTTGATAGATATGTGCATTATACAGTAATGCTTTTAGCTGTAGTTTGTTTGCTGTGAATAGGAGCTTTCCTTTCATAGCAGGTATCTCCTCTCTGAACCCCCACCCCTAAGAGAAGACTGCTTAAAACTTTTTGCAGACAATTTACTGGAAGTGTTGATAGGGTGTGTAATTCAGAAAAAATTGGGATTAGTCAGGGTGGAGACTTACCTTTCAGAGTAGAATGCTCTCCTTCCAGACTTACTGCAAAATTTGCCCTCAGTCATAATTATTGTAGTGACTTCAGTGAGCTGAAGACTCTGTCTCTAATGTAAGGACTCGTAGCAAGCTCCAGCCTGAGGTACTATGAAAAACTTGCTGGCTTGTGGTTGTGAGCACAGTGTTGGGCAGCAAGGATGCTGCAGGTGGGTCCTCCCTGAGACTTGCTGCATGTGTCTTACTATCAGCGTTCACAAAGTAGGTGCAGTTGGAATGCACTCTAAAGAAACGTGGTTGATCCTTCTGCTCGTTTTCTTGAGATACTGCTTTTGACAAATCTAATGAAGGTTTTGAAGTCGGATCTTAACAGCAATTCTTAATCAACCTTGCTTAACCTCTAAGGCAGTTGGCAGTGCTGTTATTAGTTGTCAGTATGTTCTTTCATCATGTGGCTTCCTTTTTGTCACCATGTTTCCTGCTTATTTCACTTATGGTTGTAGGTTCTGATTACTACAAGGAAGCTAGAAGTTGAGCGGAATTCACAAACTTGTTGAATGTTCTTCTTCGATGATAGGTGGTTTTCCTTTGTTATTGAGTTTATGCATATTCCCTGAAGTACAATTTCCTTGAACAATAGACAAAGCAAGTGGTAGGCAATAGGTTTTCTTCACTTAAGAGGTTTTTTTTCTAGAAAATAAGTGTTTTTTAACCTGTTCTTTACTGACTTTTCTAGTTTGTCTGCTCTCTTCTGTAGCTACCGCCTTACTAATAAGGCAGAGAAGCCCAAATGTTTCCTGAATATTTTTGTATGTGTGTGTTTTGGGCAGTCGTATATTTTGACTTGTTATTGAAATTCCTTATCATTTGATCTGCTTAGTTTTACAAAAGCATTTTGACTGTAGTATTCACAACAGATAAATACTATTTAAATCAGATAACTTGTAAAAAGTGTATTTAATTTGAAGTTGCATCAAACTGTTCTTATTCAATTTACTATTGGTAAAATAACTAAAAACCTATATTAAATAAGTACATGATTACCATCAGAGTAAATGAATTGCCTAGACGATTTCACTGCTAAGCACTTGAATTAAGAATCTGAAAAATGAAATTCGACTTTTATAGTAGAAACCTGTACTGCAGCTCTAGTTAGGATGGTTTACTATATCTCTGAATAAGTTGAATGTACTGAATGAAAGTCTTTAGGTAATTTAGAACTTTCTTCTTTTAAGAAAATATCCACCACGCCTAAAATACCAAGAAATATAAGCTGATATTTAAGTAATTTCACTAAAACTCAATTAAGTTTTTAAAAATAAAGTTAGTTCTCTTAAATTCCTGAGAGTGAGGTATTTGGTGTGTATTTAGGAAACTGAGCTAATAAACAAGGGGTTTTTATTTTTATGCCTGAACTTAAAGGTGATTTAAAATGAAAGAAAATTTTATTTTAAATGATACTTAAAATGAATGCTATAAATCAAAGAACACATCCAGATTGAGCACCCTGATTTAGTGAAGGTGTCCCAGCTAATGGCAGAGGAGTTGGGACTACATAGTCCTTAAGGTCCTTTCCAATCCAAATCATTCTATGATCCATCCACCTTAGATGTCTGGCCTGGAGGTAAGAAGTCTCACTAGAGTTAAATGGAGTTTAGAATATACTTCCTTTAGAGCCAGGAGAGGATGAAGCACTAGATATGATCATCAGATGCCTTTTCCTTGCAGGGGAGCTGGGCTTACAGGCTGCCTGACCATTCCTGCCTGTGGCGTTGCCAGCTTCATCAGTGCTTTGATGATGCCCTTCTAACAGTGTAGGTCTGCATGGTGAATTGAACCAGAGGTGATCCAGGTATGGAAGAAAGAAAAAGAAAAAAAAAATCACCAGAAAACCGCAAAAAAAAAGAATCAAAACTCAACTGTGGAAGCCATATCCTGTCTAATTATTTTGAACCTTAAGTGACGGCTCTTCTCCTGCAGATGTGAGAACTGGTGTGTTAGTAGTGAGGAGGGAGAGAAATGCATAAACTGATGTTGCTACCGAGGCATGTTTTCCAGCTATGCTTAGCTGAGATGTTTGAGCAGATCATGTGCCATATCTGAATATTTCATTTGTCTTGTACTTAAATAGGTTGTACATGATCATATTTAATTTCTTTAAATATTAATTAACGTTAAGACCAACAATAGTTTGTTTCTGTACACTGTGAGATTGATAGCTATGTTTCATTTTCATGCCTGAGAGCAGGGAATATGATCCTGTAACTCCTTGAACTTTATGGAGAAGAAAATAGCGAGTATATATATGGACTTATTTTTAGCAGGTAGATCGCTAGAAAAATCAAATTCATAAAATGTAAACAAAGCTGTTTAAAAGGCGTACCGTAAGATATAAAGGACATGGGCATAATGAGCAAAATCCAGAGTAACCGAATAGGATTCTTTATCAGTAGAGCAGAGAGAAGATTACATCATTGTTTATGGGCCACTTTCTGTAAATTAAACAATACAAAAACAAGAGGGATGTGCTTGAAGTAATCAGCTGGATGTAGATTATGCTTAGATTTAGTATAGAAGAGTTAGAAAAATATAGTGCATCATTTTAATGATTCGTTGTATGTTGCTTATATAAGATCTAAACAGTTTTGATTTTTGTTATTAAAAGGATTTATTTTTCAAGAATCTGAGTAGGTCTTCAAGCAGGATAAGATTAGGATTAAATATTTCTAGAAATTTCTCACGTGCTTTTTGAAAAGTTTGAGAATTGTCTATATTAATAAAAATGCAAAGCTTTGAGATAACTGTGGCTCATATTGGAGAGGTCCAAGTGATCGTGCCAAGTATGAAGTCTTTTGAAGTACATGCAGTTAAAACCAAGGGAAGAATAATTCTGCACCTCAGTGCAAGCAGAGTCTGAGATTGTGGTAGGAGGTACTAAAGGAGTTGTTCTGATCCTCCATTTGCATTGAAAAAGACAATAGGTGTGGAGGGTGAGCTGTTACCTTTGCAGGATCTTTAGCCACGCTTGGCAGGTAAGTTGTCTAGGTTAATCCCACTTTTTGAGAGCAGGATGAAGTAGAATGACCTCTCTAAGGTGCTCCCAGCTCTCTTTTCTGTGAGCTCATAAAACCTCGAGGGGGAAAGGTTTGTTACATAGTATTACCTTTGCTTATGGTCTGCTCTAGCTTCATTCTTCTCCCAGCCTTGAAGACATTGTAGTCTTGGCATATTTTTGGGGTCCGACATTATTTTACTAATATGGAGGGAATATGGTATTTAACTAGGATGTTAATAATATGTCTAGGCCATGTAAAAATTACAATTTAATGAAGGATGAAGTATCTTTTCATTAATGTGGTGATCAACCCCTCCTGCCATGATTTTTTAAATTTATTTGTGTATAATGACCATAAAATGGGCAAATGCTGAAACAGGTTGCCCAGAAATATGGAATGTTCTTCATTCAGATGGAGCTTACCTGAGCAACCTGATCTAATCAGTGCTGCTTTTAGCAGCATTTGGACTGGCGAACTTCAGATGTCCCTTCTAATGTAAATATTCTATATTTCTGGTAGTTCAAAAATCCCAGTTTATAATGTGGAATATACATCTGTGAAATTCAGAGCTTAATTGAAACAAAAATGCTTAATTATGAATATACAGTTAGTGGGGGACTGTGCTGTAGCTTAAATTCTTTGCACACAAAAATAATTCTTTCACATCCTGTTTCAAGTTTAAATATAAAATGGCTTCCAAATCTCAGACAAGCAAAGAATGAGCTCACCTTACACTGTTGAGTAGAGGGTAAATGTTCTTTCTTTTGGGAAATCCCACTGTCAAGAAAAAAATTAAGGTTGTTTCTCTCACACCTGATACTTTTTCTTTGCAAGGGTCAATACTAGATCCTGTATTTACTCACATATTAGGGAAGGATCCACATTTTGTTGTCAATTTTTTATTAACTTAGGACTGGAGGAATGATATGACATTTTTCTTGCTGATGTGAACTAGGAACAATGGTAGTGTTATTCTTCTGTGAAATATGCAAGCCCTCTATTTGAGATTACAAGCCTGTCAGGCTAGAATATTGTTGGTTCTTCACTGTTACATTGAAGAAATATCATGTGGGTTTTTTGGATGTTAGACATTTGCAATTGCTTGTTGAAGAGGGGCTATCTACTGCTGCAGGTGTAAGTTCTCAGCCAATAGAGTATGTGTTGTCCACACAGAAGGTGCATCGCATTGACACTGTGGGGATTTGGATGTGCTTGTAATTTTCTAAATGCTTTCAAGTGATTTACAGTCTATAGTGATAACTGTTTATTTGTTTACATAGATGGAGAGGCTCCCCAGGTTTTGTCAATCCATGATTTACAGACAACTACTTTGACAACTAAAACTGATGGCAATGATGGCAAGACTGAACACCTAGAGTATATTGCCTTTGCTTTGGTTCCTGTTTTCTTCATCATGGGTCTTTTGGGGATCCTTATCTGCCATGTCCTTAAGAAAAAAGGTTATCGTTGTACAACGGAGGCTGAAGAAGTAGAAGAAGAAAAACTTGATGAAAAAATAGGTAATCAAGTCTAATAAACAAGTTCCTATTTCTGTACATTGCTACTGCTATGAAATAATTTATTGTGAGACTTCTGTCATTCCGCTGTCTATATTTGACATCAAAGTAATATTAAGAAAAATATCTTTATTACTGTGTGCCGGTTGGATTTTGATCTTTGCCAATCAAAACTAGCAGTATTCCAATTTCCCATGCAAGTCCTTTAACATCAGTTAAGAGCTTACAGAGGGATCAAATTATCAGTATATTTGTTTGCAACTCCACAGTGCAGTTGGAGTCACTAGATAACATTTTGCATTCTACATGCTGTTTACAACAAAGTATTAGTTTACATAGTTCTATGTGAGGAGTAGCAAAAGGTTGCCATTTAAAGTCTAAAATCTTGGTTTTATGTTTAGCAATCTTGATTTGCACCTGTTGTGCTGTCATGGTCATCTCCCCTTCTCCTTATAAAACCAAGCCTTTGGACTGAATGCCTGCATTCTGTTTTATGGAATGTCTGCTTCTTGTAATTTTTTCTTAAAGATACCTTTATTTTTGTCCTAATGTTTGTTTGTGCCCTCGTTTTTATGGTTCCTTGTTCTCATCTGTTCTTACTTGGGGAAAATAAAAAGGCATTATCACTTGGGAAGGGATATAGTAACCCAGTATAGCATTTGGCTAAGTCAAAACAAGAGCCAAGTCACTTGTAAATACTCTCGGCCTCTTCCTTTCTTTCAGTCAATTTCTTTCAGTAGGTTCATAATGAATGTAAATTACAGTGGCTCTGTGGTAAGGGTAGAGCCATGTGGTGCAGTAATGATGTGTTGGTGTGTTCTTAAGCATTTACTGCCTGGGGCATGTGAGGAGTGAGTGGAACTGTCTGGTCTGTCAGTTCACCTGAGTGTTAACAGCAAGGGAAGCGGTAGGGTAGTGAAAGGGGGACATCACCTACATCTCAGTTTTGGGAAGTAGCTGTTTCTAAGTTACATTGCAGAGTTGCAGGTGTTAAGATGAAGCGTGGGTACAGAGATTTACTCATTTACTATGCAGTGAAAAATTTAGGGTCTTGCCTGTCAAACTTGCCTCAATCCTTTATTTTTTTAATAAAGCTTTATAACAATTATTAGGGAAGGGCAGAGTTGTGCCTCTTGGCTGTTCTAGTTGTCCCACTGATCTTTTTCAGCCTTCGGAAGTTATTCTGCAGAAGCTTTCAGTACTGTTCATGGGTGCTTTCTATTCCAAAAGTTTTCAGTTTTTTTTTCATTAAAGTAATCAGTTGTTATGTCCTTGTAGATGTGGTGAAAAACTGAAATTGAATTCTTGTCATATTAGAAACCAATAAGACCTATTTTAAAATAGTGACTTGAGACAGTTAAATGATCTGTTTTGTTTTGTTTTTTCTCCCTAATATTAGGATTAGAAATACTGCTCTCTTGTTTGTCTCCTGCTTAGTAGCTACAGAAGTTTTGATATATGCTTGTGAAAATACTGGGTTTATTTAATTCTTAGCTGAATTTCATAGAGCTGATGTATAGATCATGAACTTGTGTTGATATTTTTTCCTGAATAAGGACTGAAAAGTCTTATTAAGCTTTTCCTCCATTGTGACAATAGATCTTGTCTTTTTGTTTTTTAATGTAGTTTCTTCTGGTGTGTTTGGTTTTGTTGTGGCTTTTTTAAAATTTTGTTTTAAAATAATTCAGTTCTTGATTCAGAAACTGAAGATACTGACAGCATATTTATTTCTTTGCACAGAAATGAATGAAACTATACATGAGAATAGTGACACTGTGGGACAAATAGTTAACTACATCATGAAAAATGAAGGTATAGTATTGGGACATTGAAGTTATCAGCCTTTGTGATGGTATTCTGTAACAAGTATGTTTTTTTCAGATAATCTGAGGTGTGTGTTTTCATTTAATAATTGATTTGGTCATGCTTAGCTCTTTGAAATTGCCTTCACAAGGCAAAACTTCAAGCAGAATAGGGAAGTTTTTCTCTTACCCCAGAATTATTTTGTATGGTAAGATAAGGTCATGCATTCCCTCATACTTTAACTGTTTGGGTATTTGATTTTTTTTTTTTTGCTTCAACCTTTTCCTTTGTTTGTGAAGTAAAAGCTCAAAGTTGCTTTCTTAGTGTCAGTGTTTAAAGCCTGTGGAAACTTCTATGTTTTGACTAGATTAAACTTTTTGTCTTGAAGTGATTTTTGCAGCTCTTGTCTGATGAAAGATTTGTACCTAAGTGAGACAATAGGGTATACTAACAGTAATGATGAATTTTGGACATGGCATCTTCATGCACTGTGTGTGCAAAGTAAAGGATAAAGAGGAAGATATGACTGAACAAATAAAATCATAGTTAAGCACCCCATGGAATACTTGATTAGTTCAGAATGTATTTGTCCAATAGAAGAAACTTGTAGGAGACTGGATGTTTTTATAGTACAACAAACTTTAGCCTTTTAATTTTGTATAAATCAGAGTTCTAAGCATTGAACTGGCTTTGAATGAAGACTAGTCCTCTGGAAAAGTGGTATTTTGGGTTTGTGTGTGGGGCTTTTGGGGTTTTGTTGTTTGTGGGTTTTTTTGCTTGTTTGTTTAATTTTTTAAATATTTTTTTTAACTGTTAGGGCTTTGAGCTTGTGTATTTTTCCTTGAGGTTGGGATTAGGTAATTTGTGTGTGTTTGAGAATATGTGAGCAATTGATAGTGCTTGGGTGATAATTAATTTGCGTTTTGTAGGGCTCACTTTAACCGATCTTCTTAATCTGAAGTTACTTTAAACATGTGAGGTGATTCAGAGATCTTGTTTGAGAGTTCTGTGCAAATGGCTACGTTATATGGCTTGTATTGGGGTGGAGCTTTGAACTGTAATTTTAGTACCTTATGTTAAGGAATTCCTGTAGCATTATATTAACTTTTTTTCTGTAATTTTCTGTTATGCCTTTTTGGAGATGTACGTAATGCAGTCATCTTTCTTTTAGATGAAATTTCTTTGAGGAACTTTAATTTTGCTTTTTGTTTTTTCTGAAGTTAGAGCTGTTCACTTTTGAAGAGTTTTGTTTATTCTCATTGCAGCAAATGCTGATGTGTTAAAGGCCATGGTAGCAGATAGCAGTGTCTTTGAACCTGAAAGGTAATTACTTGTCATTTTAATGCATGTTTCCTGAGGCAATTAAAAACATACCCTTTCAAAGGATTTTGTTTCACAAACACTTTTAAGACTACTTGCTTGAGCTACCAACTAAGAGGATAGTAGTTAGATTTTCTGTGGTGTCTGACTCCCAAAATTTTAGTAAATGCCCTACATTGGTGTTATGGTTTGAAGCTGGCTCCCTGCCAAGTCTCCAAACCTTACCACAAGAAGTCCCCCCCACCCCAAACCAAGGGAGAAGAGGGGAAAAAAACCAAAAGAACCAAAAACGAGAGAGAGACAAAGCAATATATATATATTTACACTTATATTACAGTTATGTACAGTTGAAATATATATACAATTTCACAGGAAAAGGGAAAGGGGAAGGGAAGAACAAAAACCAAAATATATATATATATATACTATCCCGATCAGTAGCCCAAGGTCTATCAACTAAAAGAATTAGCAAAGAATATCTTACTACTCTCCTTGGGACAATGGAGAGTCACGCTGGGGTGACTGCCGGCAGCCTCTGCCTCCCAAGGTCGACAAGGCCTTACCAGGCCTCACTCTCCAAGCCGACAGACTCAACAACAGGGAGATCTGCACCTCCAAAGCCACCGGAAGGAAAGAGAGCGAAGGCGTCTCCTCCTTTCTTCTTATACCCCAGTTTACGTAAAAATCGTAGGGAACACTGGGTAAATCTGGGCACTTCCTTGGTTACAAGCTGGTCACCAAGGAAGGCCTAGGCCAAACTACCACAATTGGTGACTGGCACTTCTGGGTGTGTGTTTGAGGTGTGTGATACGGTTTTACTTCTTGTTGAGCTAAAGATTACTGGTTTGCTTCAGGGTGAAGTTACTTAGAAGGTGGCTTAGTCCAAAGCTACTCTGACTTGAAAGAACAGAGGCAGCACTTATTTAATTTGTGTGGATGTCAACTTAAAATAGACATCTCATTCTGTGTCTCCTGGTTTACTTTTTTCTATATAATTGTGGGAATATACATTGGCTGACCTATCTCTTACATTTTTTCACTGCACTCCTATTTAGGTAATTATGTAGAAAAAGTAGTTCAGCCTTACAGATGCATCATATGTGTCAAAGTATTTGTATATGCATCATATGTGTAAAAGTACTTGTATCTGTACATAAGTACTTTTAGCTATATCTACCACTACTTAAAATCCTCTTCATTTGTAACCCTGTGTTCATATTCAAGGCAGAGAAGATGGAAGTTCAAGTAGTATTGTGTCACCTACAAAAGAAGTGGGAGTATATAGTTTTAGCAAAACAAAGTTGAGTATGCAACCATTAATCATGTGTTCTAATGGTGAGAGTCTTTGTTATTGAAGAAATAAAATTGAACTTATAAAAGGATTTCTTCTCAAGTATAAGAATTATTTTTAAGCTTCTGTGGTGCAGTAGAAATATTTGTTTGAATATTTTGCTTAGGCATGTTTAATGTTATTTTGGGAGTTTTAAACTAGTTTCAGTGGTGAATTAAAATATGAAAAGTAAGAGGGAGGGGAAAATTGTTTGTTCTTACAGAATTTGACAGATATTCCTAAAGCTTTTGTAATCAAGTGCAAATCCGTGGTGTACCTAAGTTCAGTGCACTATAAAATAATTTCTAATTGTAGAATAATAATGGCTGAGTAAAATCTACACTTCTGCCACTTGAAGCCATTAGTTCCTGTCTTTGCTTCAGATACTGAGCAGATTTTATTTTTCTTAATAGCATTTTCTTATTTATTTGAAGACTATTAAATGTCTGCTGTCCATATTTTTATTTGGAAAATAAGCATCCAAGTAACTCCAGTCTTCTACAGCATGTTTTACTTCTTTAATTTGTTCTTTCTGTTCTCCTTTGGAGTCTCTTCAGTTTGTTAGTATTTTTCTTGAAATAACATTCCTAAACCTGCATAGTAGGATCAGCTGTGTCATGATTAATGCTGAGTAATGTAACTTTAGGTTCACAGGTTATGCTCCTGTTATTTCCACTGTGAAGTTTGTCCTTCTTAAGCAAGACGGTGTTCATGATTCCCGTTCAGCTCATGATTATCTTTTTCTGAAGAGTGGTCATCTGTCTAGTTGCTTTTTCATCTGGGTTTGTGTAAAGGTTTTCTGCTAAAACAATGAAAATTGTGTTGTCCTTACTGCAGTACATCCAGTATTTTTGGTAAGATTTCTGTACATGTGAGTGTCTTTCACACTCTCCTCTGACCATCCCAATTTCTTATCTTGTCCCCTACAGTTACTGAGGGTGATCCAAAGTCTGTGGGTACTTTAGCTATTCTTCTATTCTGTTACCCAGTGAACACTGAATATCATCAGGACCAAAATAACCACACTCTGTATGTCTTTCCAGTTTCGTGGTAACTACTGATACATAACTTTCTGTATGTCTTTTTAGTTTGGTTTTTTTTTTACAAGGTGTGCTACCTTACTCTACAGTTACTTCACCTTTCATGAGCTCTGATTTACTTTAGGAGAATGTGTTGCATGACAGTGTCAAAATGGATGCTGAAGTTCAAAAAAGTACATCTGGTTTCAATCTGTGCTGTTTTGCTGTTTTAGAATAAAATTGTATTTATTTGATTAGATATTCTCAAATGACTTTTGGTGGTTGTATTGCTTTTTCTTTCTTTCTAGGTACTCAAATTTTATTTTTTCCCTTGAAACTAAATGATAAGTTCATTTCTTTTTGTCACAGACATTTTAGTTTTGCCTCTTTTCAATATTATGGGACTATGCTCTTCTTCTGGGAGTTCTTTGAGATGCTGTAACAATTCTGAAATACTTCCATAGTTCTCCAAGTGTGAATGTAATCAGCCTATTGGATGTTTTCATCAGTATAAGTTCATGTAACTTGTTCTTTTCTATTTTAGGCTCATTTTTTTTCCTCTTCATTTCCTTGCCTTTTGTGTTAGTTACTGTAATCACATGACTGCTGATGAATTAATTTCTGGAAGTGATTTTGACTACAAAAATATGATATCTTAAACCAGACATTCTCACAAATAAACGATCCCTGAAAAAACTAGCTATTCACTAAACCTAACTGAAGGTTATATCTTATCTTTTTTTTTTTCATTTTTAAGAAACTGGATTTTATAGTAAACATTAAATTTCCTTTATACATTTTCTTACAGCCCTTTATCTCCTACCTCTCCTGAGAGTCCGATGAGTCCAGGGACTCCTTTGTCACCCGGTGCTGTTCCGTTCAAGCACAACTGCAAAGCTCATCACTTCCATACTGTTGGAGGAGTGGTAGAAAAGGATGTTTGTACTCGTTGCAGTCACAAACGATGGCACCTTATAAAGCCAGCTCACAAATCTAAAGAGAACAGAAGAAGTCGTATTGGAGAAGTTACAGTCCTTTCTGTGGGAAGGTAAGCCTTAGATCATTTTGCTGTATACTTTTCTTAGGAATGCTACAGTGGCCGGTGTTGGATCAGATATCCATTGATTCAACTCTGTTTATAGCATCAGTGATTTTTTTTTTCATACTCCTGTTAGTATTAGACTAAAATTATTTCTGGAAGAAATAAATGTGATTTTTTTTTTTAAGAACTATGTAAAAACATGGAGATTTACTGTGGATATAAATCCAGTGCTATTGCTCATTTGATGCAGGCTAAAAAGAAACAAGGATTGCATGCATAATAAGTTCCTCTGTTTCTGAATTTGGTATTTCTCAAGTAAGTGTGAGCTATAGAAGCCACTTCATTCTCCTTGTTATTTTTAATTTCTAACTTATGTTGTAGTTCTCTTTGAAAATTACTGTTCTAAGAAGTAGGATGGAATCTGTGGATTCTGCTTTAAAACAAAATTTCCTGAGAAAGTGTGATTCAGCAGTAGTGAGTATTAGAAAGACGTGTAGGTAATAGGAAGGAAGATTGCTCTGAAGTGAAGCAGGATCTGTGTGGGTGTCTGCTCTGATGTCTAGTTCTTGAGACCTGGAAATTTGTTCCTTCCCGTACAACCGGTCCTGAGGATGACCTAACTAATCTCTGGGGAAATAAAACTCAATCTTTCTTTTGTTTCCTTAAGATTTCGAGTCACAAAAGTGGAGCACAAATCAAATTCCAAAGAACGGAAGAGCATGATGTCTGTTACTGGCGTGGAGAGTGTCAATGGTGATATGCCTGCCACGCCTGCAAAACAAGAAGTGAGCGAAGCACCTGCCACGCCAGTGAAACAGGAAATGCAGGAGAGGAGAAGCTCAGAGTAAACCGCAGGTATCAAATATTTGGAACTCATATTGAAAGCGTTATGTTGTGAAATACGTGAAGTAATCAGTAAAGTTGAAAATGTATCAGTTCCATTTGAAAACTCATCTTTCAATTTCAAAACTCTCTACACAAGGCTGCAAAATTTATATTTGATCACTCAGTTAATGATAACTTGGTAAAAGCTTATTTACCCACCAAGTTCTTGCCTAATTGTTTTTTTCAGACTTTTTAATTAGAGTAGATGTTGAAATAAAAACTTCTTTGTGGAGGTGACATCACTAGTGCACAAAATAAAACATTTGCATATTAATTTTTGGCAATAAACAATGGCTCAGATTTAGTAGCAATGTGCTTATTACTCAAACAAGTGCTACTGACAGTTGTATCACTCGAATAACTACGGTGCTTCTTCCCTGTGCTTGCTGCTTTGTACTGTGTGCTTATTTGAGATGATTGCTTACTGGATACTTCTCTGATAGATCAGTGGAGCTTTGACTAGTAACAATGGAGACATATGAAACTGCCTGTATCACAGGGATCTAACTGAGCCAGGTGGTTGAGGTTTTCTTGTGAGTCATTAAACTTCAGTGAATTGCTTGAGGTACTTTATTATGCATGTCAAAAACATGTCTGGCATGGTTTTGGAATGGAACCCTGACTATGTTGGTTTTTTTAACTGATAAGAATGTTGGGGGAAAAAAACCCTGTAAGTTAATATGTTTTGCTTCTAATTGATGACACACTGATTGATTGATAATATGAAGGGGAAAGGTGATTTTACACAACTGTGATTCAAAATTCAGACTTGACCCTTAAGGAAGAAAGGTTCTGGGGGGGCATAATAAAGGTATTGGACTTGAAGACAGTGAACTAAGTGCACAGTGTTCTGTATGCCTAGAGAAAGGATAAAATTATGTTGTGGCTGCTCTGTCCAGTTTCAAACTCTTGGTAACTTCAAATAGGAGAGGGAAATGCACAAGAGGAAATTGGACCTGTTTACATATGCAACAAGACTCAAACCCCCTCGAGTATCTTGAGATTAAAGTAGAGAGCTGGTACGCAATGGAATTACTTCTTCCAACATTTGCTGGCAGCCCAGGTTTGACTGTTAAACTAATCAGAGTGTATTTGTCTGGCTGCTGTGTCACATCGTTTTTTTGAACCATTGCTATACAGGAAGAAAGACTTGGAGATGTGGTATGCTTCTGAATATTTAAAAGTTGTGGAGGGTAATGAAATAAATTGTTTTATTTGCTCAGTGGCTAAGAAGATAATAATAGGCTAAATTGCAAGGAAGTGGAGTTCAGGTTTCAAAATGTAAAAAGTTGGAATAAGCTATTGCATCTTCATCGCTGGACATTTGTAAGACCAGACTGGACAAATGCTTTTCAATGCCAGTGTTTTGATTTTTGTTCTGTAACAAGTTTTGGCAAGTCATAGCTGCCTAGTGGCTGCTGTTTCATTGTTTCTGTGTAATCTGTGAAGAATCTACAGATGTCAGTGAAAGGCAAACTTTACTCTTGGTTTCTGATTCAGAATTATGTCCTTGTGCTGAGGGTTTTTTCTAATGTTGGTGTGGTTTCTTTTTTATTTCTTCCCTTTTTAAAAATCAGTATTAGCTAAATGCAGTAGAAGATAACCTCTTCCTTCACTGGCTGCATTGGCATTTCTGTGCCCAGCTAATTGTTTTATTACTCCTATGACTATTGTTATTTCTTTTCTAGATGTCTAATGGTAACATCATTAGATTGTTCATAATATTGTTATTATTTAATTGAAGACAGGCTAGTTATCTTCTCTTTAAACATAAGAAATAGAAAGGAAGGGGCATATATGAAAAATTTCAGTGCACTTTGATTGGAAAAAAAATGTTTTGAAATCACTCAAAAAATGTTTTGTAGTCCAGTTTTCTTTCTAATTTGTTCTTTCCTCTCCTAAATAAGAAAGCTTTTTCCTGTAATTACCTACAAATTCTACCATTACTATTTTAATCTAAAAATAAGTTGGTCTCTAGAGAGATATGATAGTAAAACTATAAAAAAATAGTCCATCTATGGCAGCTTTTTATTGTAGAACCTCCCTTAGGATTAAAGTTTTGCCCCTTCTGAAAACAAATGTTCTAATAGCAGAGAAATGGCTCCGCAGAATCTTTTAATGGTCTCTCCAGTCCAATAGAGCTATTTTGTAAATCAGCTGGGAAATTAACCAGACCTTTTTGATGTGTACTACAAAAAATAAACATCTTGCTTGAAAGGCTTTGATACTGTTTACTAGCATGGTTCTAGATCAGTTTTTGTCCACTGCCATGAAAAGCTGTTCAGATGTATACAGGTACTAGTTAGACCTTTACTTCAACTACTTATTTCAGACTTCTCATAAATTAATGTAGCTTAATTTATTGAAACTGAACAGATAAGCAGCATTTAAGACTTTTGTGCCTTCAGTCAATAAATGTCTGATTAAAAGCCTATAGTTCTGGGAAATTTGGCTCAGATCTTCAGATGCAGAGGAAGAAGGCAAACACAGATGTGTGTTTAACTGCTGCCAGAAAAGGTTTGTTCTGTCATTCGGAGGCAGTAGATTTGTGCTTTGTGGCTGACTTTAACCACTGTTACTGAGAGTTCCTGCCTGAGATGGAATTCCTGAGTTGGGCAGTCCCTGAGTAATGTAGTATTGCTGGTTGCTTGTGTTCACTGCTACTCTCAAGTTCAGGGTTTTTTTCCCCTAAACTGACATGTTCTGAAGTGACCTTTGTAGTGTTTCAGCTTATCCTGTGCATTGCTGGCTGCATCATTTGAAGTTGTAGCATGTCTTCTCCGTGTCTCCGAGGTCCATGTTCTCAGCAGGCTCCATTTCATCAGTAAAGTTTATTTAAAATATATGTAGTGGCACATAAAAGAAGTAGTAGATACACAGCTGATAGCTAAAGTCAAAACTTTTGAGTTGACCTCTTGCACATCCATTTTAAGTACTGGGTAAACAAACACTGGTACGCTGAAGCTGTGTAACATTTTCCATTCCTAGTGCTTTGCACTGTGGTGTGATTTGTCAGTTTGTCCATGTGTTTGTCTGTTCTTTTCAAGAAAACCGGCTGAATTTTTAGTTCGTCTTTAGGATTTCACATGCTAAATGTGGAATGCGCTGCAACCACTTCATGCGATTGTGGCTTTTTTTTTTCCACTTCAGAGCATCTGCTAGCTTGTTAATTGGTCTGTTCATCCTAAAACTAATTTTGCTATTTAGGTTTATTTTTAGAATTGTTTTCTTCTCTTACAGGTGGAACTTTTAGAAGAAGCTTGTCTGTGAGCACTTTGGAGAAAACTGAAAACTCCCAGGAGATGCATACTATTTAAGGAAATGTATTTATGGCACTGCAGCATTTTACAGGTTCTGTGATGGCATTCATGCAAGGTTGAACACTTAATGGGTTTTGACCAGTAAAATCAGTTAAGATTTAGACACTTAAATACTGTTAAGCTGTGTGGACATCATACCAAGTGGCTTCATCTTGGAAAGAAAGCATATATACCAGTTTTTGGACAGGAAAGGTAAAAGCCTTATGAGGTCTTTGATTTTTTTTGTACTTAGACAAACATTTCTAGTGAGCTCAATATTAAGAGGAATACAATGACCCCGTGGATAAACTGCATTCACCCCAGTGGTCCATCTGGATTTTTCTTCTTCTGTTCTACCCACTCCTGAATTGACAAGTGTTTGCTGAGGATAAAAGCCAGACTTTTAAGGATGAAAATATTCTTTTAATCTAACTGCTAGGAGCCAAGTAAAACATACAAGGAAATAATTATGTCAACCAAATCTGCATCTGTGCCTTTAGTACATAAGCTCTCAAGCTCTGTGAAGGGTACTTCACAGCAGAGTGGTTCAGCTATATGCAGATGTTAAATTAAATTGTTGTTTTCCCCTCACCCCTTACCTTCCCCTTACTACTTAATATAGGCCGAAGAGCATATTTTCCTATGCAGTTGGATGAGCTCTTGGGAAGATTACTTTCCTCAAGGCCTTTTATTCTCCCATTTTCTTGTAACTACTCACTTGTATTTGAAGAATACCTAATAGTTTTGCTTTTTTGTTTGTTTGTTTTTACCCCCAGGTTCCTTATTAAGCTAAGGCAGCATATTTCAACCCTTAGATAAGGATATGGAATATTTGGCATATGGCATATATACTAAAGTGCTTCAAAGTGGCTTTATTGGACTGAGGGTAGCTGTTTTCATTGGCACCAAAATCTTAAGCCAGTGTCACTCCCTTCATATTTTAAGTGTGACTTACTGCTAAAAATACCGTGGTATTTTGATGTTAATTTTTTGTGTCTTCTTATGATCTCTGCTTTGTCCTATTACTTGTTTTGGGAAGGGAAATCTCTGTAATACTTAGCAAACTTTTCTGTGTAATAGAACTGAAAAATAACATTTGTTCTGAGTGCCTAAGAATGTAAGCTCTAATGTAATGCATTTTAGTAGAGATTGCACTATATTCTGAGAACTGTAACTTAATCTACTTTATGAACTCAATGAAAATCAGTGTATGTTTTTGAAATGGATTTATTTTAAATTAGTACCTCAGTCTTTGTAATCCAAGTGCTTTAAACTGTTTCTCCTTCATATCTTCATCAATTCATACAGTCTTAACAGTCAGTGTGTACAAAATTAATCTTGCTTGTGTATTACATACTCTTGTGTCAGGAAACATTAAGTTTTTCACTCTTGGTGAAAGCATGTGCTGCTGATGGTCGTCCTTTTACTTGTATCCCCAAGATATTGATTGGGCCTATTCAGCGATGCTATATTTGCCAAAAAAACACACCACTGCCCACCAAAACTTTGAAAATAATGTGTGTTTCTTTGTGGTGTGTTTTTTTTTTTAATTGATGTTTTTAGAGATAATAGTCTGTCCTTGAGAACCCAAAATAATTGTTTGGCTAGGACCAGAACCTGAGTGTTCAGCATCCCTGCTCCCCTTAATTTAAACTTGGCTTATGAAGTCTCTTCAGTATTTAAGTACAACATAAACACCAAGCTCACCTTACAGGCATACATTAAGCTTCACTTGATTATTGGTGTGAAGAACTAATATTTCTAGAAGATGTAATTAGTATTGATTATAGTAGTTAGCTTTCAGTTTCCAAGAGATTGATAGCTATGAGTATAAAATGTTGCTGGGAAAAGGGAATACTGGGCAAAACAAGCAGTTTCAAATAATTTTCAGAAAGGAATTACACAATTACAGACTGTTCCAAAAGCTTTTTTTAAAAAAAGGGTGATTTATTTTGATACTGTATTTTGATACATGATGGGTTAATACTGCAAATAAATTTGTCAAAAGGATGGAAGAAAGTTTAAATAGAAAGATGTATTTTTTTACTTATTATAAAAGTAGTTTCTATTTTGATTCCATTGAAAATACGTAGAATAAAGGGAATGGAAAGATGTTGGATATGTAAAACATTTACCTGTATAAAATGGTTAAATAAGGTATTATCAGACCTGATATGTTCAAGAATTGAATTTATGCATTGCTTCTTGAGTAAGAGAGAATTTAGAAACTGTGCCTGTTTCACTGCCTTTAACACTACACTGCTATTTTATAGGGGTATGGATATTGCTATATTAGTTTGCCTTTCTTAAATTTGCATATCAAATGTATATTAACAAAATAGTTTATATACAACTTTTATACTACCAAACAGTAAATAAAAAAATATTGATTCTTAAGCTTGCTCGTGACTTCCTTAAGCCTGCATCCATTGCGTGGAAATTAACACAGTCTTAATGTACAATGCAATCTCTTTGCATCTTAAGTTTTTGTTTATGGAGGTAGTAAGGTTAGATGGTTGTGTAATGTACTTCAGAGCAGTTTTATTTTCTTCAGAAAGGACAATTACAAATATTACTTTGGTTACATGTTTTATATGGAAAAGAAGGAAATCTGTGCTTTAATCCAAGCTGATATCTCATCAGATTAAAAGTATCAAGACTTTTAACTTTTTATTATATTCGAGATTAAGTTTTTAAAAAATATGTAACATTATTCTCAATTCTTTTTGTAAGGTAGGGAATGAAAAATCACAAATGACAGCAAGCTCTTGCAGTTGTTTCCTCTCAACCTGTTTCTTTCTGTGCTTAATTTGTTACATTATGTTCTCACAGATGACTGATCTGTAAATGGCATTAAAAATGGGTTTTGCTGTATGAATAGTGAAGGAGGCTTGAAGCAAGTTGTTATGGCTAGCTGAGATGTAATTATCAGTGTACCATCCTATTTGCAGGTTTGGGTTTTCTTAATTTTTTTCAGTGTTCCTACCTGTATCACATAGGGTCTGTTTTGAGCTCTGGAAATTCAACACACTTTGATTCTCATTTTCCAGGATTTTTTTTTTCTGTTCCTTTTTTTTCCTACATAAGAATTCTGTGTAGTACACATTTTTTATTAGATATGTACATATACTGAAATACAAAAGGATTGCTGTACTAAAGTTTGAGAAATTCTGTTATGACTGGACTGAAACAGAGAAGTCCTCAAAAGAAACACAAAGAATTTTTGCCAGATGGATTTTGGATTAATACTTCTGTTACTTTTCCTCCAGTACAGACACTTTATATTTTTAGTAAGACATTATTCCAAAATTCAGGATCCTCCCTCATGCTGCTGTAGGAAAACAGTCCAGGAAACTACTTCTATGTTTAATAAAATCTGATTTTACTAGTGAAGAACACAGAGCCCATGTGCAATGTGTTTTTGAAGCATGGTAAGGATTAAAGCATTTCTCTTGCTTCTGAATCTCTTTGTAAAACAACCTCATTGGACAAGCATAGTGTACCTGGTTTCTCCTTGCCATTTTATTTCTGAACTATTTCCCAGTTTGTTTTTTTTTTTGACAAAATCAGTACCATATATGGTCCCTGTACTCACAAGTGTGTTGTGTGTTGCTTGGTGAAAGTGCTACTTCAGCCAGCTGGTGTCGTTTTGGGGGAATGCTAAAGCACAAGTGTTTGTCTGTGTCCTTCAAGTCTGCGGATGGTTTTTACAGCTATGCAGTGTTTGTAGAAATGAACTCAGACTCCAGTATTCCTGAAGAGTGTGTGTGTACAACTTAGTGGGGAGCATTTCGAGCCTGCCGGAGAGATGAGGCTGCTTGTAGGGCTGTGTAGCAGAACCAAATTGAAAGGCACAGGGAAGGGAAATGGGCACTAAGTGTGATAAGAAACAACGGGAGAAATGAGTGTCAGATAAATTTCTTTTCTGCTTGTTTGGTTTTTTTTTCCCCCTACAAATGAATTGAGCTTGTACAAAATCATGTGGGTTAAAAAGTGCCTTTTAATGAGATTATTCCTTTCATCCATGAGAGGAGGACATATGATTTGGTAGTGCTGAAAGTGCCTACTGGGTTGGAATGTGAGACAGTCTCTTCTGAGGAATTAAGTTTCCTGGATGTTTAGTGGTTGTTAAGTACTCCCACCTGTGCCCCAAATGTAGTCTGAAGTGTGAATCAATTTGTATCTATTAATTTAGGGTATCTATGCACTTTAGGCCTGTTCTTTCCTTTTCCCTGCTAAGTGTGTAATGCTACTGCTAATGAGTAAACAAGAAAACAGAGTGGTTAAGCCTTGGTTATCTAATATTAATGAACAGTATGTGAGACTTGGACAGATAAAGATGGATTTAGATTTAACTTTTTTCTCAATATTTTGTGAACTCCTGTATTTTGGGATTTTGTTTGAGGGAAGTTTGCAGTTAGACTTGAAGTACTGGCAGATGCTGGATATGATTTCCACTTCTTTCATTTTCTGTATCCTTGTTGATTTTTTTTTTTTAATTTTAAGTTTTTAAAGGTTATTTTTCCTCTCCAGTGGTAGGGGACATGCACTAAGGTGCTGCTGGTTTGTTTACTTGAGTCATAATTTGATTGTACCTCTTGTTCTGGATGCTTCGTCTCCCCTGTCTGCACCACTTGACACAGGGCTGGCTGATGGTGGAGCTACCCCTGCACAGAGCTGCAAGGCAACCTGTCAGCCTCAGAGCTGCCTTCCTGGCAGGTTAAAGTCATCTGCTGAGGCAAAACTAATTGAAGGATATGTATGTCTGGAGCGAGACAAGGAAAAGGAAGCTGAACAGTTTGGAAAGTTGGAGTCTGTTCCACTAACTTTCAGAGAAAAGTAGGTAGGAGAGTGCCAGGCCCATAGTGCTGGAAGCAAGAAGATGGCAGATGCCTCTGAATAGTGGCAAGGTCTGAGAACTCTCTGCTGTGACAGTAAGCAGCCTCCAAATTATCTGTGACTGGGGGAAAAGAGTGGGTTGGTGGTATATTTGCTAGTAAGTTTAGGTAAGAGATACCAAGTCCCCTGTGACATGGACAGGCCTTTGTCCGAAGCCAGTTATGTGGGTAGTGCTTGGCCATCTGTTTCTGGATGTGCAGTCAGGCTTTGGCTCCATATAAGTCTTAGCAGGGTAGGCCTTGTTGTATTGCAACTGAAATACCTCTTAAATTATATCTGTGCAGCCTCTAGTGCTGTAGAGATGCAAAGGTATCAAGTGTAGCTGCAGCGTAGCTGCCTTGTACAAAGGAGAATATATTGGCAAATGCATTTTTCTACCAATGTAACCCCTCAGTTTTATTTGTGTAAACCCTCCGATCACCCCTTCCCTTGTTAGCTGTTCTTTCCTTGCCAATTTTCAGTCAGTCATCCCAGTCCTGTTTCTTCTGGGCTGGAGTTGTTAGGTGTGCAGCAGTGGCAGGCAGGAGGCACACGTGCTGGTGTGGCACAGTTGTGTGTTGGTGGTCTTGAAATGGTGGTCATGGGGAATAGAGAGCATTGGCTTCAGTAAGCTTTTCACAGCTGTCAGCATGCAGCAGAACAGCAACAGCAAAACAACTAACAAACCTAGCTGATACCTCCTGGCACTGATGGCAGAGGTGCAGCTTCGAAGAGGAGGCAGCAACTGGGATTATGAAAGATTTGGGATGATGGACTGAAAAATAATAGTGATACTAAGGGCAGAAGCAGTTTGAGACAAACTCTTGTCTCTGAACTGTTATGAAAAATTAACCATTGCTCCATGGGTGTCACTAGATATACAGCTAAATACCCAGGTAATATGGTTTGATTTTCATGCTGAATAAGATATTATTTTGAAATTATCATATGAAAATAGTATTTAATTACTGGTCTTCAATATTTTAATTTACAGTCAAAATAATTATAAAAAGCAGCAATGTTAGGAGAACCTTAAATAAAAAGACCCATAATATTTCCCAAATCTTATTTCCCAAGGATTCTACATACCTGTGTGTGTATACACGTACACATATATGCATAGAAAGCAAAGACAGGAATGCCTTGTTTTCTGTCAGATGCAAGCAGATTTTGTGTAGAGCAACTGAATTATATATTTGCTGGCAGCAGAGGGAGCTATGAAGCTTTTATTGATAATTCAAAAAAGTTGGAGTGTGTCAGTGTAAAAAATATTAAACAAAAAATTTGAAAAAGCCCTATTACGGGAGATCTGAGGTGCTTCATGGGGCAGGGGCGGAGCTGTGGCTAGCCAGGACCCAGCAGCTTGGCCCCTCTCCTGCCCTGCATTGGCCTGGAAGTACCTGCTGCAGTTATTAAAAGAAACAATGTAAACTTCTCCCTGAGCCAAATTTTTAATCAAAGCAATGAGGAAGAACAGGATCTGTGTGTCATATATCAAAACAATAGCAGCATGTATCGCCTGGTAATTAACACTCAGGCATGAATCTGGAAAAGTAATTCCCACTCAGGGTGGCGTATGCATATTCTTTTGTAAGGCTTTTGATAATTTATCTTCATTTTGATTAATGCTGAATCTTTAATACGGTTGGTTTTTTGCAGATACTAATTGGATGAGTTTTGTATGCAACTGTGCGTAAACAGCAGATTAATGAGTAAAAGGTAACAAAATGAGATTGACATTGTCCTGGCAAAGTATACTGTATACTTTTTAGATAACCCTTGTGTCACTTACCTACCAAACTGAAATTTGTTGCATTAAAAATCTGTAATATTCCATCTGTGCTGGAATTGATTCTGGAGAAACTTGTACCAGTTCTGACCACAGCAAAATCTCTTTATGTAGCACATCTTGTATTGAAAATAAAGAGATTTGCGTATATTTTTTTTCTGAAGATTGTATGGAAAAACTAATCTGAGCAATGTCCCCAAATTATTTAATCTGTTTTTTCTGGAAGAGGATCTCAAGTAAGAGCCAAAGAAGAGTAAAGCTTCATTTAGATACCAGCCTTTAAAATGTGAGATGGAAAAACCTAGGTTATTCATTCTTGGCCAGATCCCTACAGTTTGTCCTTAAATACTTAAACAGAATTTTAATCTCATCATATATTCATTTTGCTCTGTAGTCATCTTGCCTTTGTCACTTACCTTCCTTTCATTTTGTGCAAGTCTAGGTAAATTACTTGGTACAGTTCCAAATGTTAAGAGCAGAGGGGGGATAGGACGTGTGATCACAGATTATTGAAAATCTGGCCATGCTTGCAGTTAAGGTATATAGCTGAGGGTGTTGCCGTGTTCCTTTCTGCTTCTGCACCCTCATAATAATCAAACTAATCTCTAGCTCAGAATAAACAGAAGGAAGCTCAATGAGCAAATTAATTAGATTGGCTGACTTCACATAGTTTTATTTGTGGGGTTGGTTGAGTACTTAACTTGTCTGCAACGTGACAAAATATTGGGATGCTGTATTTCCTGAAAGACTTGATGTTTATCTATTTTGCTAAAGAATAAAAAAAGGTTTTTCAGTTGTTAATATGCAGTAATTGAATTATAAATTAAAGCAAAAACATGTTAAATCTTGTTTAATAATTTCAGTCAAGATTCAGAGCGGTTTTGATCACAATGATTGTGAGATGAATGCTTGAGATCTGTACTTCAGCAATTGGATTAAAAACAAAATCAAGACAAGCAGTATCTTTCCTGGTTCATAGAGTGAATCCTGTTCTCTAAATTGAGTTGTACAAGGAAATATTTCTTTTCTCTGACTAAAGGAGGAAGAGTTAGAGAGTGGGGGAATAACTACATGTAATAAAGTTCTAATGTGAAATTGGATTTAACAATAAAACTTTGGTATTTAATAATAAAACACTTAAAAAGTCATCACTGCTTATGTTAAGGCATAAAATTGCTATCATCTATTTCAACTTTTATTACAGAGTCCAAGAGGCCCTTTTAGTTTCTTCCAAAATTTCAACAGCTCATTGTTTGAAATGGAAAAAGCCAAAACAGGTGGGACACAGTTTACAGAAGTGGTCAGTAGTAGTATCATTTGTAGGGCAGGCAGTATTTCCTGTTTTCTATTCTGAATTCAACTAATTCGACTCAAGGATTGTCTGATCTGAAATTTAGAAAATAATTGTGAAGGTTCAAAATGAAGGAAAACTTAAAAACAAACCTCCCAGAGATGCAAAGTAAAATTGTTAATGGAGGCAGGATCCTAAGACTAATGTCTCTAGCCGTGTATGTGAGTGGATGAAATTTGAAAAGCCTGGCCAGGAAACAAGCTGAGGAGGTTCTGGTTTGATTTCATGATGGTATGGAAAAAAAAAGTCTTGGCCTAGAGCATTTGATGTTGGAAAGACCAGTAAAAAAGTCTTAATCTGCTTCTAATAATTACTCTTAAACATTTTGTGATACCTGTGTTCGAAAACCTAGATGGACACAATGTCTGAAAGGAAATTTTATCAACAGAATTTTTAAAAAATAAATTAGTTTTTAACGTAGAATGACTTGGTAAATTTACTTCCTTGTGTATTTAGCATATTAAAGAAGTTTTCATACATTTAATTTTGAAGTGATGCTCTTGTGCAACTTAGATGGATTCCATTTTCATCTACATGCAAGGAGAGATACTGCAATTAAAAAAAATAATATATTAAAATTAATTATTTCAATGTAATTAAAATGTACAATATAGGCATTTGAATAAATATGTGAAACACTATATACACAGACCTTAATAAATGTTGAAATATTCTATTCTCATTTAGAAAAATGAGATACATTGGCAAGAATTAATCTTTTGGAAAATTAAATCACATTTAGGAAATTGAAACTACAAATACAGCATAAAGTCAAGATTAACTTTTTTTTATTTCTAAATCAATGTTTCTTGTTTCACCCTTCAAACGATGATTAAAAAAATGGTATTTTACTTAATAAAATCTGAAGTATCTTTTAGAAAATAACAGACTTTCTGTTTCTGGATTTTAATTTTTAATGGAAGTTGCCATGGCAACGCTTGCCCAGCCAATTGCCTTTGTTCTTTAAAAAGGAAGGAAAAAAAATCTTTGTGGAATGTATCTATTTCCAAATCCCTGCTTTCTTGTTAGAATTTTGTTTGCTGAACTGAAGAATACTGCAGTGTCAAATTTTTGGTTCTTCTCTTGCTATGTTTTCCATAGGAAATAACTTCCTTGAGTTGGGTGGATTGGTCTGTCTTTCACTCCTGTTGTCATATGTGGCATTTCTGCAGTGATGTGAAACTTTTTTTGATAATCCAGGGTTGACCTCCCACTAAATGAGAAGGTGCTAAACTTAATCTTACTCAATGTCTCTTTGCTTATATACGAAAGATTACAAATTCCCTTTAAGCTGTGTTACGAGCTTTGGAGAATAACAAGTAAAACATGGGCTTCCAAGGTGCAAAATCTCATAGAAATACCAGATCTCATACTAGTTTCCCATCCTATTGCCTGTTCTTTATTGCTACATATGTCTTCACGCTCACCCATGTAGAATTACATCAAGTATAGAAACATTAAAAATAGATACTGGCCAATCAGCTCGCTCATGAATTCCTTTTGTATCAAAGGAAGACTGAAACATTTAAGCTCTTCTTCATAAGTGAACACTCTGAATATAAGAAACATAATTGGTTGGTAACTGAAGTTAGTGTTTGGATGTCTTACAAAGCTGTGTAGTTTTTGAGGGAAGTCTTAAAATACAGTTTACTCTTGCTTCTAGTCATTTTTTTCCCTGTAACTTCCTCTGTTTTCTCAAGATACTAAATTTTACTCTCACAACTGCCTGAGCAAAATGGATTCTCTAAGCTGGCAGTGTTTGTTTTTCTTTGCATCTATATCTGATGGAATTGAGTGAGATTTGGTTCTCATATAATTACTTAAAATCTTATTTTTATGCAGGAAATTGTGTCTGGCATTTAAAAATTTATTTCTGAAATAATTGATTCTTTCACATTTATTGTGAAAATTATCCTGCAGTCTGAAAAAATGACTAGGAGCTCCTGACACTGCTGTGACATGATAGAATTGAAAGGATATAAACACATAAGTATAAAATCCATATATTTTTTTTTTCTACTTTAAAAACTGCACTAGGCTTTTTTAGATAGCAGATAAGAGAAGTCTGAGTGTTGGTGTTACCTCATAGGTTTGTTTTGTGGAAGCTTTCCATGTGATGCAGGTTTGAGGTATGCATATGCCTAATTTTTTTTTTCTTTTTTTTTTAAGAGAAGCATTGACCAGTTATTTCCAATGCAGCAAATATACTTGTTCTACACTGGGTTTTGCCTCATACGTTTATGACAATGAGAACTTGGGCTGCAAGGATTGTGATGTCTGTGGCTCAGCTGCTCTCTTGCAGAGGGTTTCAGCCTGGTGGCCCATGATTGCAGGCAGGTACCCATAGAAGGGTTGCCTGGTTTGGATTGTCTGGGCTGGATCTCTGGCCAGGGGCTCTCCTCTAATATGTTTTAATCCTGAGGAGCAAGGTGAGAAACTTGCTGTGATTTGCATTTGAAGTTCAGGTTGGAGCTCAGGTTAGAAAAATTTGATTGAGTGGATATTGAAAGATTGGATAAGTTTTGTGGGTGTTCGTTGTATTTCTTTCTTTAACTTTTTTTTATGTAATTTTTTTTTGTGGTTTGTGTCATGCTGCAGCAGGGGCTGGTGGCTCCTTGGTGCTGGGATGTGGGGAGCAGTGGAGGCTCCCCAGGGACAGCAGACCTGGATGCCATAGCCAGAGTCTGTCCTGCCATCCCAGCCAGGGTGTGGGGCAGCTGCAGGCAGCAGGGCAACCCCATCCCAGACATCTCTGGCAGGGCCTGGGGCCAGGCTGGGCAGGGCTACGGGGAGCTGGGTCAGAGTCTGACCCCCATGGGGGCTGACGTGGAATGCTGGGCAGGGCAGGGAGAGCCCTGGGTTGGTGGGCAGGGACAGTTAGGCCTGGGGATACCCTCAGGGCCCTGTACGAGATGTCCTGTCATAATCATAACTAGTAATACACAATGTGCCAGTAGTTCACTGGCATTTGGTATTGTAGTAATCTTTGAAAGACAAATGTATACATAAAACTTGTATGCATTTATGAAAATGCTTAGAAGGACCTATTAAATTAGCAAAGTGGTAGAGAAATCAACAGTACTACAGTACTTTAAAAACATATAAAGCTTTTTTATTTTACAGATACAATATCGTGACTCTTGTCTGTAGCTGAATATAGTTCTCTTGAAGCTGAGACTTTAGGTTGTTTTAATTGCTCCTAGGGTTATCGTTAATGTTTTGAGAAATTGAAATACTGACTTAGTCTTGCACTTTAAAACAGAATTTGTATTTAAATGAAAATATTTAAATATCTACACATTACTGAAAACCCACCTCCTAATATTCTAATCCTTATATAAGTTAATGGTTAGACTAGGATTCAGCATATACTGTAGTCAGATACGTAGTTGGTGCTTTTTTTGTATCTAGTGAGGGCTATATCTTATAGTACTTCTTTAATGTAATTTTTGTATTCAGAAAATGCATAAAGTACAAAACCCACCAAATTATTTTTATATGATTAAAAAATTTATTTGGAGTTTATAACAGAAACTTGATAACCATAACATTTCAGTATAAAATGTCAAGCACTTTCTATTTCAACCATATTTTTGCTGAATTGGCAGCACCAAATTTGTCTCTACCTCCTTTTTTCCCCACAAGAACTGCAGCCCCTCCAGGAATGCAGCTGTTTTCAGGGCGTATGCTTAATTCAACTTGGAAGCTTGATCCTTTTTTCTGCTGTAAGTTTAAGGACTACAGCAGAGCCACAGAGGGGTCCACATTGGCTCTTGTCGTTTGTACATAAACAAAACACATCTTGCTGGGGATGTTTGAGACATAAACTGTTTGAAAACTGTATTGCTAAGACAACTGATGTGTGCCTGGAAGATTTAGTGGAGTTGAGAGGTTTCAGGCTGTAGTTCTACTACAGTTTTAATCTATCCAAACTGGTAGGGACTGAATTTTCATCCCTCTCCAGCACCTCTGATAGTGTGTGTACAATTCTTACGTGAGCTGTTTCAGCTCATTAAACCAACAGAAAGTTACCTATTCTCTTGGATTTGGCTAGACTTCTGCAGTTTTAAGGAACTGAAGCAGCAACATGAAGTTGAGGGGAGGTGTAAGGGGAGAGATTAGGTTATCATCCTAATGCCTGCTGCACATGCACAGGCTTAGACTTAATCAATAATGGAACCATAGCCACAGTGAAGTCCAAGCAAAGCTGCCTTCTTGATTTCACACTTCAGTAGATCATAGAACTTTGGCTCATTTATATATTTTTTTTTGAGCTAATGATGAAAATCTGTGGTTTCTAACTCCATGGCTTCAATAGTTCTGTTTTAAATAATGGAAGTTTTCTGAACCTGGAGCCTCCAGTGTGCACAGACCCTTATGAGGGTCAAAACCAAAGGAAACATTTGCATGAGTCCAGGTGAGGTGGGTATACAGCAGAATATTCTGTGTGGAAGAAGTGATGCTTTTCCCTCCTTGTTGGCTCCATAGAGAAGAGTATTACTATTAGCCAAGGGAGCATTTTTGTGCCTCGGGCAGTGGAAATTAAAAGGCTGTATAAAACAGCCTCTCTGAAGAGACAGAGGTTTATTCCCAACTCCTTTTATATATGCTGTTCATAACAGTTCTCCATGTGTGCTGTACATGTGTTCATATAGACCCAGAAATAAAATCTGGATCTTACCCAGTGTATTCGGATAAAACCTTCATCTAGTACTCGTCATCATCTTCCAGGTCTTCCCCTGCAGTTGCAGCTTCCAGTGCAGCCAGAGCTGCTGCGACTTCTGCATCTTCCTCCTCAATTTCTCCATTGATGTCTTTATGGTTGGGGTGTGTGAGTGCCTGTGTGACTTTGGTAACAGCCACTGCAGAGATACCACCAGTAATGCCCTCACTCAAATTTGCAGAGTCAGTTTCAAAAGGTTCAGTACTGCTCTCCTTCACAGGCAAAGGTGGGGTTACACAAAGGTCCTGGTTCTCTATTGCTGAAGGACCAGTGTTTTGATCTGAATGTGCACAGTGAACTGAAAAGCTGTCTTTTTCAACACAGTTCCCAGTTTGATTGCCATTTTGGGGGTAGTCAATATCTGGCAGTTGTATGGCATTGTTTTGTGTCCCCAGTATTGAGTTTCCTTTGAGAAACATGCTATCTTGTGCAGACTGGGTGTCTGCAATACTGTTAGACACATCGCAGGCTGCTTTCCTCTGACTGCCTGTCTCTACGTCAGGTTCTTGTCCAGACCTGTTTAATATGGTGTAAAAGTCTGTGTTGCTGGTTGAAGAAGCCTCTGACTGGCTGCAGGTTCCCTTTTCACTGGCTTCTTTTATCAGGTTTGTGTTGGGATTGAGTGTGGAGTGCCCTTCAGCACAGGAGTTGCCACCATTGACTGCAACATCAAGCTTTGCAGCACACTTCACAAGGCTGTCCTCTTGAAAATTGTTGCCTCCATGATTCCGGAGAGTTTCTTTTGTACTATTGATAGGATTTTTATTTTCTGTCCTATTTAGCTCATTCTTCTCGAGTTCGTTTTTGTGTTCTTCATTTTCACTGTTCTCTTTGAATTTGAATTTATTGCTGCCTTGTTCATTGTGTTTACAGCTGTCTACTTCATGGATGCATCCAGGTGATTGTACTTCTTCTGGATCAAAAATATAGCTGGAGTAAGGAAAATTTGTAGAGGAAATATTACTTATGATGTTAATCAATATAATTAGTAAGAAAGATTAAGCTTCATTTTTAACTTGAAGGTATTGAGGAATTAGAGTCACTAAACTTTACCTCGGGTCCTGAGAATGCGCTAAACCAAATGGAAATGCTGAACTGTGCTGTCAGCTGCTGTCTCCCGGGACTGATCATAACTAGCCCCTGTAGTGAGATTCACCAGGAACATAAGCAGGATGTTGGAGAATGTGCTGGCAGTTGCTTGTTTCCAGCTTTATTTTTTTTTCTTTTGGGAGTTCATTAGCCAATGAGTAGTCATCACATGGATTGTTAATTAGTATGTCCTCATGTAGTAGCTAAAATATCTCTGTTTTTTGCTGCTGTTCTTCCTTCAAGTCTTTTGTCCTTTTCTCTTTTTTTTTTTCCCCCTCCTGATTTATTTTCTTCCTCTTGCTCTACATTTTCCTTAACTTATCTCTTTCAGGGCCTCTCTCTCACTTTTCTTTATCTCCCTTCTTTCTCTAGTAGCACCATTTCCCCACCCCACTTCCTTACCTGTTCTACAGAAGTGACCAAGGGAAGGAGTAACCCCCAAGTGGGGATGAAATGTGGTCTTTATCAAACTAGTGAAGCTTCCTCTCTAGGGAGACTTTTAATATGGGAATAATTCCCACAACTAACTACATTTAAAAGCTATGATGGAAGCAAGGAACTATACGTTCGTTTTCATTGCTTAGGGGAGAGGGAGATCTGACAAAGACTGTGCTCCTTGTTCTACTGAATTGAGGGAAGTTCGTGCTACCTAAATAAGAAAAAGCTTTACTAAAGAAGAGTTTTCAATGTCACACAATTTACTCTGTGGGACAGGAATTATGGAAAGGGACCATAATTACAGTAAACAAAAAGGACATTTGGAGGGAATCAGTATACCTATGCTTGAAGATACTGTAAACTTTGAGAAAACTCCAACCTTTTAAATAGACTAATTTAAGCAACAGGTGTAGAGGGAGCACAGTCACATGGTTTCATGCTTTTCTTTTATTCAGTCTAAGCAACTCTTGTTCTATTGTACCTTTGAATCATTTTGCAGCACCTGCACCCCATCTGGATTTTCTTTAATCTGAAAAGAGAGAGGGAAGGCAAGGGAGAGAGGGAGTGAGTGAAGCATTATGAAATTAATGTATGAGCAATTGCATTGAAAATGATGCTCATGTTTAGAAGGTTTTTATTAGCTAAAAAGAAAGATGTCTATGCAAGAATGGATGCGGTACAGTTCAAGATCTTTCCAGGTTCCTGTCTTGCATTGGCAATGGCCTTTAACTGGGGAAATATCTGGAGAAGAATTTAACAATTCTGAGATAGTGGTGTTCTCCCAGAATTGTTTCCTAGGCAATTTTATGATTTGGAGAATTCTAAATCAGCGCAGTGAGTGTGGGGGGTTTTGTTGGTGTTTTGATTTTTTTTTTGTGTGAGGTTTTTTTTTTTTGTTGATTGGTTCTTTTTCTTTTCCAGTATTTTTTTCATTTGGCAGCTATTGGTGAAATTCTCTTCCATTTGTCCAGTTGATTTCTGGAACAGTAAACTGCTAGCATCTACCACATCCTTTACTCAGTTGTTTCACAGACCAGCCTTGCCTGTGTGAAGAATCACCTGCTTTTGTTTGACTTTAACCTGGTTCTTACTGACAGTATTTGGTGCTTTCTAGTTCTTCTTCACATGATCTGACCATCATGTCCTATTGTCACTATAGAACAGGTTCTATACTGCCCCTTCGGTTCATATACAGTCTAAAGAATCCTCATCTATTTAAATGTTAGCCATAGTGATATAATTTCATGCCTATAAATTGTCCTTGTGGAGTTCTGAGTCTTTTGCATTTCAACATCCTTTCCAAATGATGCGTGGGAACCACAAATGTAGAGTTCTCAAGGTGTTTGGAACCACAGATTTATTCTTTCCTAATATCTCCTTGTCTCCATTCACTTGACTCTGTGACAGCTACTGAGCAATGAGGTGACATTTTTGTGGAACTATCTCTTAGTGAGGCACAGACAAGTTCCCAGGACTGGCATTTTATTATATGCAATGTGTTGCACCTGCGTTTTACTACAGTAAATTCCAGAGTTTGACTAGAACTAGCAGACTGTTTTGCATTGTGTGTGTGTATGTCATTGCCTGACCCAGTGAGATGCTAAGAACTATCTATTATACGCTTCTTATGCCGATGTCTTTTATTATGGGAAGAAATGTTTTGCTAGTATGGACCCTTGAGAACTTTTCTGTTCTAAACCTAAACTGAAGTCCCAGATCAGACTAAGCAAAAATCCTAAAACCCCCAATACTCTTTGTGGGTTGGGGCTATCTTATATCAAATTAATCAAGTCAAGACAGGTTGTATAATATGTTTTGTCCATCGATATTCAGGCTCTTTCTTTTTCTCTTGAGATGCTCTACAACCTTGCATACTTTTGCCATTGCCTAAGGACAGCTGCTCACTTCCCATCAAACAGAAACTGATGATGTTTTCTGGAGTCATTTATTCACAAAACATTCAAGGAAAGTAGTATTGATTTATTCTTGCCAGGCATGGCCTGATCTGCGCACCAGCGATCATGCTAGCAGAAATGTAAATCAAAACTCTCCTTTTTTTTCATCCCCCTAAAATCTGACTGCCTCTGGTGTTTGCACTGAACTAAATACCTGATGTAGGTCTCTCATTCCTGGAGCCTCTAAGGGCCTACAGTCATTGAGCAGCTGGTTTTAGCTAGGGTAGAACTGCTCCTATACTTTTTGTCTTTGTCTGCATGGGAACTGTTCTGGAGAAGAAATTTCAATCAGGAGTAGCCAGCTTGATGTAACTCAGTGCTTGTTGGGATGGCTTGTAAGCCAGCTGCTTTGCTTCCTCTGCCTTGGTCCTGCTTCTCTCCTTGAAATGCACTCTCCCTTCCACATCTCTGCTAATCTTGTACTGTGTTCTCATCCCTCAACACCACCATAGCAGGAATTCTGCAATAACTGGCGAGATGATTGAGTGTACTTACCCTCCTTATGTGCAGTTGCTCTACATTACAAAGGTGTTTGGACTAGATATGGGGCTCATTTAGGCTGGCTGGTATAGCGATCTATTCCAGCCAAAGGGGAATTCTTAATACAATTTGCTTTGATCATGTTAAAAGCTGAATTAGCTGTAGCTCTTCTTTAGGTTAAGACTGGTTTGAAGCTAATACAGTTGAGCTAAGCCCTGTGTGGAAACTTGTTCTGGTTTGATTGACATCTTGAGTTTTAGCTTAAACCTGCTTATAAACTGAAAGAAATAAAAACTGCATAAAGTTGGCCAGCTGTTGATAGACTCAAGCTTCAAGTCTCAATGGCTGGCAGATTACCACATGTTAGATAAGTCGTTGTGTGATCTCTGTTCATGGGAAAGGCAATGTAACTTGGCTTATTTTAAGCCTCTTTCTCTACAGTCTCTACCAAGCCCTAACCTTCCTGTGGGCTAAGAGTATGCAAATATTATCGTGATTTAGCAGAGATGAAATAACTTCAATTGCTGTCAGTTGCTATGTGAACCCACTGAAATGCCCTTGTCTTGGCTTTAAAGTTTATAGGTTTGTATGATGACCAGTACAATAGATGTTGCTTCTAGCTGAGAGTGGGCACTTCAAGTCAGGCTGCTTCTGTTTAAACTTTTATCTGACAGATTTCCTACTCAGGGCTTTTATTTATAAATTCTGTGGTTTGTTTGTTTTTTTTAAGCACAAAATCTTGCTGATAGGTTTTAAGCATTGAGAAGTGCTAATTGCTGGCCTTTATTCTGTTGTAGAGACACTTGTAATATAAAGCAATTATACATTGATATTACTGTTTTAGTTTCCATAGAAAGTACTTTCCTTTTTTTTTTTTTTTTATTACAGCTACTGTTGGAAATATCTCTACAGCTATTGCATTAAGCTTTTCCACTGATGAGATACAACTGGATCTGCCCTCCAGCATGAATAGACTATTACATATGGAAAATAATGTATATTGTATTCTCTTATAAATTATTTCATATGCCTGAAATAGGAATATGGTTTTACAGTGTCACTATCTGAACACTGGCTTGTTTTTTTTTCCCTTGCCCTTTTCTTTCATTTATAATAATCTTTCAAATCAAGCTGGAAAATAATTCTGGGAAACAGTTGCTTTTATAGCATGAAAAGGCATGCTTTAGTCCTACTTATCTTGTTTTAGGTACCTAGCTCTAAAGACTTGTGTATTGTGTGATGTTCATAGTTCCATTAATGGAAAAACTACTGTCTGGAGCAGTTTGAATCAAGCATGTACTACAGACTTGAAAGAGGATTAGAGACTTCGCACAATGGATAATGGTATGTTAACTGATACTGAGTTTAGAAACATTGCATCCTTATAAGATGTTTATTCTGTTAGATAAGCTGTGCTGCTAAATTGATTAGATAGTTTCAGATAAACATGACATGATGTGGAATGCTCCCTTGAAGAACACTCTGGGGGCTAGTTCCACATCCCCCCTCCCCCAAAAAGAAAAAAGCTGCCTGTTTAAAGTGGCAGTAAAATGCTTGGACTTAACATTTAGATCCTCAGAATTCAGATCAAAACTGCCATTAATCCTAGACAACTTTGTGTGTGTTTTCCCCAGCCACCCCAGCAGACATTTGCAAAAGATAGACTAGATATTATGTCCTTGCAATGTATTAGATGAGTGTTCACACAGAGACCAAGAAGACCTGATGTTATGAAAGACTTTCTTCCTTTGAAGTAGTATGATACAGAAGAGCAACCATTTTAAAACAAGTTGGATAAAATTGTACTATGGAGGGAAACAGTAACTGGTCTTAATTTGAATAGAGGAGGATATGAATCCTATCAGTAAAACAAATGCTAAAAGGGGGGAGGTTGTTAAATACATTTATGGTGGCGCCTGCGAGCAGAATAAGATGAGACTTTTCTTTAGAAAAGTGTGAGACTATGGTGAAGATAACAAGAATAATGTCTGACTCCAAAACTGCAACCTTGCATTTCAAGCCACAGAGGAGCTTTAAGAGGAGTCTGCCTTGCTTTATCAGATTTGAGAAACACAAGGTATCTGATTTTCAATCATGTAATAACATAGCTTGTATTGTCTATTTAAACTGTGGCTGTGTAATGAGTAAACAAAGGCAAATGAGATAATGTCACAAAAAGGGTAGAAGAAATATTTTTAAGACAGAAAAATGGTTTGGCATCTTTTTCAATATTCTTGGGAGTTTACATGGAAACAGAAAAAGGTCAGTATTATTTTTGCTCATGGTGTATTTTTAATTCTATCTTGATTTTTATTTTTAGATTCTTTTTAAACACCTCCAGTAGCAGAGGCAGAAAGCTGAGGGGACAGCATATTAAAAAGGCTTTTCTAGTAGATCTCAAACTGATAAACTCTGACTTTGGGTCATTCTTTTTAAGCCAGTTGGTTTTTTTTAGTTTGTTTGGTGTTTTCCTATTTTCCTACCACACCCTGATGCTTCTGTTTTTGCTTAGCTTTTCCCTCTCCTCCCTCCTTTCCCACTCTAGATTACCAAGTAAGGAGTTTTTTCCTACATGTATATTATCTGGACTGCTGAACCTGAATGACGTATCCCCCAGGGGCCTGAGGCACCTCTTTCTGATGACTTTTTCCAGTAGAGGCACCTTTCAGACTTGATCCTGCCAGTGTCTTCCCCATCAGTTTTTTGTGTTTTGCAGCAATTTTAAAATCACTCAGTGAAACCCTTGCATTTTAAGGCTACTGACCTTAGCTACCAATCTCTTTGCAATGGATAGAAACCCTTGCTTATGAAGATTGTCTGGCTGCTTCACTATTAACACAAGCACAATTTACTTGGTATTTTTTTTGTTAATGAGGTCTTACCTAGATGCCAAATGCTAACCAGCCAGGAGACATATGCACAGAAGCAAATGTGGGAAGAGAGTGTATTTGCAGGGAAATGTGTGGAGAAGAAATATAAAGAATGTGGGGTGGGAATAACCTTAGAGAGCTCTAGCACTTGACGCGCTTCTCCTAATAGGAAGTGCAGTTCGCCTTCTGTGCTAAGTAGGCATTCATACCTCTCAGAAGATTTC